AATATTTTAAATAGGAGCAGTCCAAGAATATACTAGAATACTCTACTAAAACAATGTTCACCCCCCCCCACAGCCCCCAGCAAGCTGAGATGGCCACTTTATTATTAGTATTATTGCATTACAGATTTTAGCCGTTCTTAATAGCCCATGTGCCAGGCCATGGCCTCCTCTGCATTTAAAACACATTATAAATTATTGTTTGCAGCTCAAATTTTATTCTGCAGGGACTGTGGCAAATGCCACTTATGCAGCTCTTCTGCCCATAAGGTAAACAGCCTGGATAAGATCGCTGCACCATGCTAATGGCAGTAATCTTCCAATCCCATAGGGCCAGTTTAAATGGTTTACCTTAGACATGTGAATTTATGTTGTTCTATTATGAGAACTTTGGGGGGGAAGAGGGGAGTTTTCACCAGGTGACAGACTGCCCTACCACATAATATATCATTAAAAAGGAAAACATCTGGCTGCTTTTTTATGCCAATAACCAGGAAAATTAGTGAGAGAATAAGTTTAAAATCTATACTGTGGGAAGTAGTATTGCTCCTATTTTGACATCCTACCTAATTTTCAATTGTCCTTGACTAACATAAGCTCACGCTGAATTTTGTCATTCATGTGTGTGTGCGTGGTTTAAGAAAAAATAAAATGATATAATTTTGATTTAGTTGGATTGCTCTTTAAGGCATTGACTCTCCTATGGATATCACAATAATAAGCTGCAGTAAGCCCCCAGGCTTGCATGTCCACAGTTTCTCCTGCATAGCCAAGAGGAAAACTTCAGAAGCTTATACTTTTGCTTCTATTTCCAGGTGATTAGCATCATGAAGCTGCTTATGAAGTCTGCCTATGTAAGCTAACCATGTTTAGTGCAAACTATGGGCAGCCCTGTTGAGTGCGCAAGCGGACCAGGGCTTCTTCATGGCTCTGTCTCAGTTCTGGAACTGCCTCCCTATAACTGCCTCCCTATAAATGCGAGGAGGGTCTTGACCTGGACGGGCTTCTGACAAATGGTGAAGGCTTCCTTACTCTCCCAAGCTTGCAGAGGCCACATTTAGTTCAACTTAACTTTCTTCTACTGTCTAGCCCTCCTGTTAGATTGTTATGATTCCATTGCTCATTTAATTGTACTTTAATCAGTTTCAGTAATTTCCATTGGAATGTATGGTTTTGACACAAACCACTCTTTGATATAAACTATGTTTTTTTTAAAAATGAAAAGCAGTATACAATAATACAAAATAAATGAATAAACAAATCATGCACACCCCTCGGTTTGGACAAAAGGCAAAGCAGAAAACCACAGTTTATATAACTGAAAGTAACTTTTCTGCCATGCTCTTTGAGACTGTGTGTGGGGAGGAGACGGGGGGAGAAATGCATGCAAACCTGAGGCTCACAGTAGTTCATGTGCATCACAATAAACATGTCTGTTTATCAGTAAAGGTAAAAAAAAAGAAAAAAGGTAAAGGACCCCTGGATGGTTAAGTCCAGTCAAAGGTGACTACGGGGTGGCAGCGCTCATCTCACTTTTATCAGTAACACCCTTCCACCTTTCATGTGTCCCTTAAAAGGAAAACATTTGCTAAAGATACACACATGCACACATTTAACAACAATATAGCATTTATACAGAACTGCCTTTACTAAGATGTGTGTTGGAGAGGAGGAATGTAAGAAACAAATACAGGCTGCCATTGGTAAAGAGAACATGAATCACTCCCTAAATGTGACTAGATTCCCTGTTCTTGATGGTGCCCATATTAACATAAAGCAGGGCTTAGCAACCTTTTTCAGCCGTGGGCCAGTCCACCGTCCCTCAAACCTTGTGGGGGGCCTGGACTATATTTTGGAAAAAGAAATGAACTAATTCCTATGCCCGACAAATAACCCAGAGATGCATTTTAAATAAAAGCACACATTCTACTCATGTAAAAACACGCTGATTCTGGGACTGTCCGCGGGCCGGATTGAGAAGGCGATTGGGCCGGATCTGGCCCCCGGGCCTTAGTTTGCCTACCCCTGCCCTAGTGCCTCAGTCCAGAAAAGCCTGTATGATTTAAAAGGATAGTTGTGGCCAAACCACAGGGGGAGCCAAAGCAGAGCAGACTTGCAGCTAGCTAATCTTCCTCACATTCAAGGAGGCTTCCTCCGAAAGGCTTGTGACTAAAATTCAGGGTAGATAACAGAAGTTATCAGAGCACTACAGCCAGAGAACTAAATTTCAAACTAGTACTTTAAACCAACATTACCAGTTTACACACACAATGTTTATTTCAGTGAGCGGAAGGCTGGGAGAAGACTGTAAAACCACAAGGCTGCTATCATTGGCCCTTGAAGGAATCCTTTTTCAAATTGCACAAAATCCATGTGTGTCGGAGCTTTGCTGCTGTTACAAAACCATCGCAAAAATAGCAGCCAAATTCTGCTAAACACACACACACACACAGAGAGAGAGAGAGAGAGAGAGAGAGAGAGAGAGAGAGAACCTTTACAAAAGCAAAGTTTATAGCATGCTATAATTAAGCTCACATCCTGATAGAGGGAGCATGAAGTTTTATTCTAAATATAGCAGAAGTCCTCTTTATTGCACAAGTCTCCCCTCCTCCCTCTTTTAAAGTGAAATGTAAAAAATGAGTCACTGATATTGTCAGTGGCCTCCTTACCATTTAGATTTACAAAACAAATCAAGAAAAAAAACTAACTAAAACAGAAGGCTTTTGTTTCCTCTCTTTTCTTTTTAGCAAAGTGTTACTTTGAGTTTTTTAAAGGGACGGGCAGATAAGAGATTATACAGCAGCAGTGCTCAGTGGATCAAACCCCATACTGTATATAAATAGCTGAAAATAAATAAATAATACTAAATAATAATAAATGTTATCCAAGGCAGACAACTAATCTTGTGCTATAATACTGACACTTTTAGCAACTGTTTTGTTTGCTGCAATATACTTTCTATGTGGATGCTCAGATGTTCACCATTAATACAGGAAAAATCTTCCATGTGGATTTCCTAAGACTGAAACTTGTCAAAGGGATGAGCTGCTCTGTGATGATCTGGAAACATTTTCTAGAAAGGTGGCTATTGCTAATGCACTAGTGGGCTCAAAGCACAGAAAATGGAAGTGACAAAAGAGAGCAGCATTAAGGACATGGAGCCTGTTATTGCTGCAAAGTGCAAGGTTCTTGTGAACCACAAGCGTGGGCCCTGCAAGAAGATGCTTGTTGCACTGAGAAAGGCATGGAGCAATGCCTAGCTGGTTGCTAGACGATGTATCAGAGCATTCAACTCACTGCTGACAGTAGCAACACTTGCAAATTGTACAAAAGCACGAAGACAACCTTTGGACCAACAGTCAGGAAAAACTGCACGGCTGTAAACTTTGACGGAAGAGATCATCACAGACCACAGCAAGCAGATGGCGTGATGGGGCAGGACAGAATCCCAACAGAAGTGCTAAAAGCCAGCTTCAATTCCCCTCTCATGACACACCTCCACGGCTTTCTCTTGCCGTGTTGAAAAAAGGATCTGTGCCACAAGACATGCATCTCCCCAGCATTGTGACCCTCAAAGAACAAAGACGACTGCTATGATTGTAACAACTGCCACGGAATCTCCATGTTGTGGGGAAAGCCTCTGCCCATGAAGGTCTCAACAGATTACAGTCACTTACTGACAGGGTCTATCCCGCACCTGAGCTTTAGAACTCAAGAGGTCAACAGTCAACATGATTTTCTCACTGCACCAGCTACAGAAGAAATGTCAACAGCATAGACACCCCTTGTACATTGTCTTCATACATTGTTTCCTGCCTGGCAGGGGGTTGGACTCGATGGCCCTTGTGGTCTCTTCCAACTCTATGATTCTATGATTCATAAACCGGATGAAGACCTTTGAGCTACTCAGCCACTGCTCAACCAGACAGGGTGCTCACTTAAGCTCCACAAGATGATGGTGTCCTTCCATGAGAACATGCACATACATTATTATTATTATTATTATTATTATTATTATTATTTACTGCCCATCTGACTGGATTACCCCAGCCACTCTGGGTGGCTTCCAGCAAAACGTTCAAACACAAAAGATCATGTGTACTTCCATTCAAGGAACAGCAGGGGTCTGTTCAAGCTGGCCTATCTTCACACACAAAAGTGCAGTGGGTTCTTATCAATTCCAAAATATAAGGTTCCAGTCAAATGAGAGATCACATTGCGCCAGGTATTCTAGAACAATCCTGTTTCTATGGAGAAAGGCAGAGTAATTTGTGAAGTGAGGCTACTGTGCTACCTGAACAAAAGGCAAGTCTCAACTGGCATAAGTATTGTGTCATCTTCACTAGATTCTAGTTTGTGCCTGAGTTAAGTTCAAAGTGTTGGTGTTGGGCTTTAAAGCCACAAATGGCCTAGGATTAGGGCAGGGGTCAGCAAAGTTTTTGTGACTTGGGCAGGTTCACGGTCCCGCAGCTGCCACAGTGGGCCGGAGTGTGTGCACACGCACGCATGCGCAAACACTATTTTTGGCGCTCCTTCCAGCACGGAGGAGGTGTGCACAGCTTCCCACTGGCTGCAGGAGCTTCCTGCAGCCAATGGGAAGCTGGCCAGCGTCGCAAAAGGCGGTCCCTGCTCTGCTCCACGCCAGTTTAGCGCGGTGCACGGGAGCCGACTCAGCAGGCGGCGGGGGTCCCCGAGAGGGTGGCGGGGGTCCATGGGCTGGTTAAACAACCCCCATGGGCTGCTTGTGGCCCATGGGCCTTAGATTGCCGACCCCTGGATTAGGGTCATAGCAACCCCATATATTTAAAGCACTCTTATAGCACTTTAACAGCCATAGCTTACCCCCAAAGAATCCTGGGAACTGTAGCTTGTTAACGATGCTGAGAGTTGATAGGAGACCCCTCACAACACCCTTAAACTATCAGACCACTGGACTATTCTGGGTCAAAATTAAAGTATCCCAGATTTTATATAGCTTCACCCAAATTTATTTGCTTTTTAGTGTGTGCATTAAACAACAGGGAGTGACAAAATCAGCAGAAAACAATAAACACTATTCATTCGTTTTTTTCTCCAGTCCCACCCCCCCCTTTGGAAACAGTAACCCAGCCAGGAAAGCAACAGCCATATTTTAGAAGGCGTCTCAAAACTGTCAATTTCATCTCTGCAATAGTGGCATGCATAGCATAAGGTCCAAGGCATGGCATAAAAAAATTCACAAACCAGTTTTATGAAGGTTGCTGGTTCTTGTACTGCTGAGAAGGCCAGATTCCATTAAAGCAGGCTTCTAGGCCTCATGACTACTGTGAAATACTTTTCTTTTTCTTTCTGAAACATCAATAGCAAAATACTGGCTCATAGAATCATAGAATTCTTGAGTTGGGCGGGACCTTGAGGATCCTCAGTCTAATCCAACCCCTCGCAGTGCTGCAATATGCAGCTGTCCCATACAGGGATGGAACCTGCGACCTTGGTGTTATCAGCACCAGGTTCTAACCAACTAAGCTAACCAGGCTCTAGTGTAATAAGAATAAAATAAATAAAACAACCCATCATTTTTAGTCCATTCATCAACATACCTAGCAAATCAAATTCTTCACGTTTGAAGGTTATAGTTTTAATATATGAATGCTGCATGCTCTGCCCAATGCCTGCAGTGTGACTATATTAGCCACATGTTACTAATGTATTCATACTATCTGTAGCCTTCTTGTTCGTAACATACCGGTATATTCCGATTTGGCTGTCAATCACAACAGAAATATAAAGAAGAAAGATATATGTGCGGGTAATTCAAGAGGCTCAAAATGTATCTTGCTCCTCTGCCCTCCAGTTTCTTAGATTCCAATTAACACTTCTAGTAAAGAAAAGCAAACTAGAAACTTCTGTATTATACTGTCAACGCCACTCCCCACCCCCGCATCTAGTATTTTCCAGAAGTCTTCACAAAAAAGCCGGGATAGCATGAATATGTCACAATGAGAAAGTTTACCATTTCTCTCCCCGCCCCCACCCCCAGGCAATATTCTTTGTGGTTTCTCCAATACTGTGAATGCATACCTCTGGTGTTTACCATCAGCAATTTTCAACATGCTGACATGGCTAAAAGTGACCACAGAGCCGACGCAAGCAAGCTAGAAGGAGAAACACAAGCGGAAACACTATGATCTTTCGACTCAAACTTTGCACTTTTTCGACAGGAACTTAACAAGGTGGCCTGGTTATCATGGGAGAGGATTCGATTAGTGCAACTTGGAGTAGGCTCTCTCTCTCTCTCTCTCTTCTCGCCTTCTTTTTCATTAACCGACAGAGCTTTGTTCCTGATGTTGCTATTTTTGTGGCTGACGCATGCAAAGCTGTTGGAGGAGGGAGCCATTCCCACTACAAAGGTTAAATTTCTTTCCCTGCTGTTGGGGCTCGCAGAAGGGATTTCTTCTCCTTTCCCAACAATCTACCTTCTCATGCTTTAGATCAGGTGGTTCATCCTGGCACTGTCCTGTTCCTCCCCCAAATTGTTTTAAAACAGTATCTTAAAGTCACCTGAAAACTGCTTGTAAACAGAAAGAGCAATTAAGGCTGCAATCCTATATCCACTTACTCCCCAGCAAGCCCTTCCGAAATCAGCGAGACTTTGTTTTAAATAGACATATATAGGATTGCTTTGAATATTTCAGAAATATTGATCAGATATCATTATTTTCTGATTTGTAGTTTAAATGCATAGAGCTGGGTGATGTTTATAAAACCTATTCCTTCAACAAAAGTCCCCCCCTCTAAATGTAACTAGTAATTTAAGTTTGTGCAAGGTATATGAGAAAGAAATCCATAACCAACTCTTTTTGGTTTGTGTTTTTCAAAGACTCAAAAGTTTCAAACACTCAAAAGGCAGTCATTATCATTTACTAAGGCATACAGTACAAGAGAAAGTCCATTTTACAAAATGGAAAGTGTTACCCTTTTGCCTTGTTTTCATTATCAGTTTACATACACGAGGGATTTGGAACCTGAGACCAGAAGTGTAGTAGTCTGGGGTTGCGAGTGGTTGAGGACCCATTACTGTACTATTTCTGCAGGAGGGGCCCAACAGGGGCCCTGTCTCCAGTATCCCAGAGCCCCACAATCAGCATGGAAAGAGAGTTCCTTAGCCACTGAGAGGAAGTATTCTCACCCTTTGCTCTAAAAGAAACCAATCAGAATGAAAGGAGGGGAGTCAACCACTGAGAATCGGCTCCTAGGGTCACTCTGGAAAAGCAGGAATACCACCCAGGAGAAGTTGCTCTGTATGTTCCAAAGCTAAACATTTAGGAAGCACAAGTCACTTCAGTTTCAAAAGAATGGTGTACAAGTTCTGCTACGTACAATAGAACAAGGAAAGCACAACTTAAGCAACACTGAAAAAGATACTGGAGCACTCCAAATCATTTGCCCATGTGTATGCACAGAAAATAGTAAATCTAGCTGAAAGGCAAAACATGAACATCTGCAGTGATGGATGCATTACATCTATGATGATGATGATGATGATGCTATTGTATAGTCTCATAAAAGTGTGTCTTCTTAGAAGTGTGTGTGGCTGTGAGCATCATAAAGGGACCCTGCAACTTCTGGATTTGCCACTACATTACTGCCTGTGACATTCCAGATGCTGCAGACTATGATACCCACCATCCTTGACCACTGGCTCATGCTGGATGGGGCTGGTGGGAGTTGGAGCCCAACAACATATGAGGGTGACATGTTCCCCATCCCTCATATATGTCCCCCACACACAAATATGGCCATGCGTTTTCCATCTTCTACCAGGAGCCACAAGATACAGTAGCCCTTTCCTCTGAGGGGCTCTGCTATCCTGATTGTCAGATTTCTTGTATGTAAAATTTACTGCAAGCTATCCCAAGAGCTCAGTTCAAAGGTGGGGCATAAACGTCTCCAAATGAATAAATGTGCTGCTTTATTCTGAGAACAGATCCTATTATGTTAAGGGCATATGACTAGGGTTACCAGATGTCCCCGTTTCCCAGGGACCGTCCCCGGATTTACGATTAAGTCCCCGGACAAATTCCATCCCTGGAATGTCTCCGGATTCCATCTAATGTCCCCGGGAAATGCAGCAGCGGCAGTCTCAGCAGCCCGGAGCAGTTGGCTCTGGCTGGCTTCAGGAGCTGCTCGGAAGCCCCCATATGATGGTGGGGCAGGGGCTCTAAGATGCAGCTTCCGGGCTGCCTCCACCTTCCTTGACCCCAGCAACTAAGCTGTGAAGGGAGGCTTCATGCTGCCTGTCGGAGCAGCTTCCCAACTCCTACTTGCGTGCAAGCAGGAGCGGGGTAGGGATCTCTCAGCTGTGAATAGAGGCTTCACGCTGTCTATCAGAGCTTGTGTGCAAGCAGGAGGGGGCAGGGATCTCTCAGTTAGGCAACAGGAAGCCTCCCTTCCCAGCTGAGGGATTCCTGCCCCCTCCTGCTTGCCTGCAAGTAGGAGTTGGGATGGGGCTGCTTCTCAACGTGTAGTATTTTATTTATTTATTTATTTACTTACTTACTTACTTAGTGCCCCCAGATTCATTGAAAAAAATCTGGTAACCTTACACATGACTGTCCCCCAAGAATCCTAAGAACTGCAGTTTTTAAGGGCACTTTGACTTGCAGTTCTGTAATGTGAAACTACCATTCTGAGGACTCTTTGGGGGAAGTCATGCATTGGGTGTGCTTTAAATGTATGGTGTGGATCTGCCCTTAAGCTCTCTGTGCAAAGAAGAAGCAAAAACAACAGAGACCCTTGGGACCTTCAAGGCTGATGCATTTATTGAGGCATCTGTAGGCAACAGTCCCCAAATACAGCATAAGACACCCACCTCCTTTCTAGAACCAGATTCACCTGTGTTAATACTGCATGCTTTGCTGCATGATCCTATGCATATTTATGCAGAAGTAATTCACACCAATTTAGATGGGATTTATTCCCAAGTAAGTGGTAATAGCAATGCAACCATATTTTTTACTATAGTTGCCAGGGTTTAGGAGCACAAAGCAGATTGCCAACAAAATAACCCCAATATGCTTCCGAACAGATAAAAACAGTTACTGGCAATATCCAAATATCACCAGCCAAATTTAAAAACAAGCATGAATAGCAGGATTATACGTCCTGATAGACTTGCTATAAGAGAAACATGTTCTGCAGGCTTCTGGAATTATACAACAAGGCTGCCTAATATTAATAGGCAGGTGCTGTCACACTGAAACTCTGACTCCTCTCAGATGTTTGTTTTACAGTTTAACAATCACTGCTTTACAATGCATGCTTCAGGGTATGATTGTATGTTGGCTGCATGCTGCACTTAAAATGATCACCCATGTTATCTTTGCAGGAAGGTGAACTTCATATGGCTCCTAATGATGCTTCAGTTGGGGCTGGGCTATTTGGCTCTCACATTATGGTGATGATATTTATTAGCATAGAAATGAGGATCTGGCTAACTCCCTACTCTGAAAACTATGTTAATAGGTCATCCCAAGACGTTTTACTACTAGAGCAGAATACTGCACCATTCCACCCCACCCCCACGGTCCCTTGCTTTACTCTGCATGGTACAGACCTCTTTATCAGATCTCCACAATAAACACTGGTGTGTGTGTGTATACTTTCTCACTATGGTGTGGGGCATCTAATTTGCAATAGTGATTGTGAATACAGCTGAGGGTTGGATATGCAGTATTGGTGGATAGAAACCACTGCATAATTGGCAGTAGATTTTTATGTGGTGAAGCGCCCTGAAATCTACAGGTATAGGGTGGTATACAAATTTAATAAACAATATATTATTTATTTATTTAGATTTAGATGGACAGCTTACAAATATATATACATATTTAAAGCTCCATAAACTCCATAAAAGCAGCATCCAATAAACAGATCAGCAAAGGTTAAAATGACTGGGAGTGACTCTCTAGGGTCTTAGGCAAAGAATCTTTCCCTGCTATCTCACCCTTTTACTGTAGATGCCCATGATTGAACCTGAGACCTTCTGCACACAAAGCATGCCTACTGCTACTGCAGTTGTAATATTGGCGAAATGGTGGAAATGAACTGATAGTAGGCACAACAAACATGTTTCCCTTCGTCCGGGAGAAATCTTGCAGGGAAACAAGCTAACATTCAGCCAAACGTTGTTCTTATCCAGAGACCATTTAGCACTTCTACCCAGGCCCTTATTAGCTTTGGCCAAGGGATCACCTCCATCCTTATTTTGCACCACAACTTCTGAAATCAGTCCAGGACATTCTCTTAATAAAACCTTCGGAGGGCCAAACTGGAATATCTTGCTGCCAGGCGCTAGAATAGCTCCAGAGCTCTCACTCCTGAACCAATGCTGCACCTCCCAGCATACTCCATGCTTGATAGTTTGTGAGAGGCTGAAAATAGTAACCTCTTCTCAGAGACAATGATAATCCAGTGCTTATTAGAGGAGCTTCTAGTAGTCATACAACTTCACAAATTTCAAAGGTACACAATCTCTGATGTTTCATCAAGTAGGTAAGGTGTGTTGTTGCTTTTAAACATCCTTTCCTTCACAACTACAATTTAAATTTCCCCCAAATTTAAGACAAATAAGGGCAATGCAATAATGATAGAGTCACGAAAGATAATGATTTGCATCTCTGTGAGTGGCACAGAAAATCATTAATTAGGCATTCAGAGTGTAAGTATATATGTATAAATTAGCATCTATTCATCATTGAAACTGCAATAGATTTTTCATAACGGAATATTAACTATGTGAAGAGATTGCTAAGGTTTCTGGATGAAGGCATCAGGCAACTGCAACACAAAAGTAATGGGAAATTTAAAAATGTAAATACTGAAATGTCATACCTAAGTGGCTGTCATAACACCATAGTTTAATACCATTTGCTACAGCCTAGCTTGCTGGAAGAGGTTGCTCCTTTTCTCTCTCTTTTGTATCTCCTGATAAGCATAAGAAATATCAGACATTCATGCCTGCTCATTAAGGAGCAGAACAAATCACAATTAGTATTTTAACTTGATAGAGAATACTCAGTCTCTCAGGCCTTTACATACTTGTCTGAAAGCAAGGCAGATCTGGAAAGTGGGGAATTCAAAGAGACTGCTGGGCTGCAAACCAGAATGAGTACCGTGCGGCATGTTTTATTTATTTATTTAGCCCTAGAAATCCAATCTTGATAATTCAACTGTCACATTGCAACTGCATCAGGTACACAGAGGACAGAACAATCTATCAATTGCAGGAGAAGACAGAATGGGACAGATCAATGTTGTGTTGAAAAGCAACTCATAGAGTGGCCAATTTCAAGAACGTAAAAAAGATCTTCACAAGAAAATAAGGCAAGCTGGAGACTAATCAAATCCTAGTTACTCCTTTAGTAATCAAAAGTTTCAAGAATAACTGAGAACTATACTTGACTCTTGGTCCTTCCTAATTAATAACATACAGGCAGATGCCCACATTCGGTAACCTAATCTATTCACAATGGAGACAATGGGGATGTGGATTTATTCTGCTTTCACTCACACGCTGTCATCAATATCAAGGAACAGAGGAAATACCTGGGCTACTTTTTCTCTAGGATGCTCTAGTTAGGAACATCTGGACAGAATCTCACACTTTGCCTAAAACCAAACCAGGGACACATGGGATCCCTCATCATAAGATCCCACAGTGCAGAAGTAATAAAATAATCCCACGAGGATTGGCACAGTCAGTCAGCTTCCACACATGCTAAGTGCATGGAGAAATGAGCTGTAGAGAAAATGTAGTGCAAACAGTCGAACTGTCCTTATGGACTGCCTGCCTGTGCATTAGGAGATACTAAGGTGTGGCTAATCTACCCATAAATATCCCAGGTATTACCTCAGAGCATTGTTAGCCATCAATCAATCTTCTAATGCCACTGTATGGTTTATCAATCTGGTCCAAAAAGTATTTAACCCCAATTTTATACATATATGTATGTATGTACAGTCATACCTCAGGTTGAAGTAGCTTTGGGATAAGTATTTTTGGGTTGTGCGCTGCAGCAACCCAGAAGTAACGGAGCGCATTATTTCTGGGTTTCACCGCTCGCGCATGCGCAGACGGTCAAAATGACGTCACGCACATGTGCAGAAGCGGCAAATCGGGACACGCGCAGACGCGGGTTGCGTTCGCTTCTGGATGCAAACGGGGCTCCGGAACGGATACCGTTCACATCCAAAGGTACCACTGTAATAACATGTTACTTAAAATGACCCTGTGTGGCTATTTCTCCCCAAAAATTCCTGTGCTGAAGAGCAAAATGATTAACATTTTGTGCAAACTATTGTCTTTCTTTAAAGTTGAATAATTTAATGGCCTCTATGTTCTGACATTTTTCATATTTCATAAGCATTCAGTAGTAGCAGAACTTTTTGTTCTTCAGCTGGCCAATTTTATATTATATGTTTAACTGCAAGAGTTGCTGGACTTTTTTATTGCATACATTTGGGCATTTGAGGTTTTAAAAAGAAGTCTCTGTGAATTGGGCATTTACCGTATGAACAACCCACACCTAACACCAGCATAGAAAATGGCTTGCCCTGGGTACATTCTGATGCAAACTTGCCTTTCCTGAGAAAATATAATAAGGAATAGAAATAGTTATGTTTAAAATAAGGGCAACTTAACCTTGTGTACAGAATGAGCAGGACTCTTCAAAGACTGTGCCACTGAAGGCTAAGAAAAAATAAAGATTTATGGAAATGTACAAAACATGTGAAGAATAATAGCTCCCTTGTTGGGACAGAAATCAGCAACAGAAATGTTGAAATAATGTGATCAACAAAACAGAGCTGGCAATTTCAGCGATTGTTAGCATATATCAGCTTTACATAGAAAAATACCAATATTTATTCCAGAAACAGGGACAGAATCTAGCTGCTGCTAACGCTTAGGGAGCAAACAACCACACTTGTCCAGCAGTTGTGGTAACAGTAGGGTCTGTTCATGCACCAAAAGTGGTTGCATGGGTGTGCAGCATGAACCTGAAGGTATAATTACTCTAAAATGCAGCATTTTAGTGATGAATCCTGAAAAGGCACCTGCTGGCTGTATAGCTGATGGCCCAGAAACTCCTGCCTGGTTTGTCACTTCTTCTACTCCTATGGATCTGCGCAAATGGGAGGGAAGGTAGCTAGAGAGGCACTAGGAACCCAGGTAACCAATGTGGAGACATCGAGTCCTGGGTCAGGAATCTCTGGATATGATGGTGCTGTGGTGGAGGTCTTATCCCTGTGTTCCTCTTCCTCCTCTGAGACAGCAGGCCGCAGGTCTGAGTAGATCTGGACACAGAGATGTATCTGAAGTATTTTCCACCACCTGCCCTCTGCTCTTTTTAACTAGAGATGTCAAGGATTGAACCTGGTGCCTTCCACATGCAACGCACAAGCTGAGCTATGGTCCCTCCTGTGATCTTATGATGGTCAGGAACTACAGTGAAGGAGGAGTGGATCCTCTTGCCATTTAGGGCTCATCCACCTTTAAAGTGCCATATCCAAGTACTTCCCCCGCCCCCGGCGCTTTCACCATGAAAACCTGCTCTTTAGTGCTTTATATGAACAAACGGCAATTCAGGTTTTCCATGGATCGCTTGGACAAGCACAGAAATGTGCTAGAAATGTGGCACAAAAGGGAGTCTGGATGAGCCCTTAGCAAAAGGAGGCAAATTTCCCCCACAGATCTCACTCAGCATGCTTATGCCATGGCAGTTAGAGCTGTGGATGTGATTTTGCTGCAAGTCTCATGGATTTCAATGGAGCTCACTTCCAAAAAACATGTGCTTGGATGAACCTGCGATATAATAAAGTGTAAGAAGGCACCATTCTGTAGTATCATTGTCGAGATTTAATGAGCAAGCTTAATTGGGAACTGATACGCCCCAACAGGAGAAAAGCTTTGTGAAAGTTCTTCAAGGGTATTTTTTTTTTTTATTTGAGGAAAGGTAATTATAATATAAAAGAATTGCACAAGGAGGATGTTCTTTAAATTCCTATGGTGGTGGTGGGGGGTGCATCTGAATGAGCTGCTGCATCTATCCTGAGTGGATGGGAGAGAAAGAGAACAGGAGGCCAAGGGGATTGTGTCACAAGAATATGCTCTATGTCTTCTGTAGCTGGTAATGGCTTGATCAAATAGCCATTAAACCCCTGAGAAAAAAATGCCTTCAAAGATGAAATGAGGTTCTTTGATAGAAGCTTTGATCAGGATGGAGAGAGTTTAGATATTCAAGGACAAATCCTGCTTTTCAGCAGTGGTGTAAGGAACATAATGTCAAGTCTGCCTGGAGAAAAGAAATAGTGGTTTGTTGGGGTGCAGTTGTTTCTCAAAGGCATTTGAATCTGGACACAAGTGCAACCCAGTGCCCCCCCCATATTATTATTGTATTTGAAGGTGGTGTGCACACACTCCTCCATGCTATTTACTACCCTGTGAGGTAGTTTAGGCTGAGAGATAGTGACTAGCCCAAAGTCACCCAGTGAGCTTCATGGCCCAATGGGGATCTGAACCCTGCTCTCCCAGGCCTGGTCCAACACTCTTACCACTACACCAAACAAATATTTTTCATTGGGGTTACCTAATGGAAACAAGGTTGCCCCACAAGATTGTCAGTTGGGCTTTCTGACAACCATCCTCCTCTTTAGAGCCACATTTAATTTTCAGTAATTCTGGTGAGACAGCCAACATTTTTTGTTCCAAGTTGTAATTATGCTTAAACCTCTTCCATTTTGTTTCATGGGGGACTAATGGGAGTTGAAACTGTGCAACGAAATATGTAAAATCAAGTGGAAGACACAAATCTCACCCTTGTGATTAGTAGGGGTGGGCAATGCTAACAGGACTAAGGTAAGGGTCCTGGCGTCAAGATTTGCCGATCTTAAAAATATCCCTGAATATTGCTTAGCCTAGAGAATGTTGCTTTGATGAGAAAACCTTCAAGGCCCAGCCGGCTATCACAAGTTCCTCCTTTGTGAGCTTCAGAACTTCTTCTGAACTGTTCCAACCACAGAAAAAGGAGTTACACAACCTGGTCTTAATTGAAATATTTGGTGCCTGCTGATATGTTCAAACACATCCACCAGATCTTGATTATTCACTGGCAATTAAAGCTATTAAGTCAGCAGACAGACAGCAGGTTATTTCATTGTGATTTGACAAAGCCAGCCGTCTTGCTCTCCCCTTCTATATGACAGCACTATAATTAGTGGTAATCAAATATGATTTGGACTAGGTGTTGCACGCCTGCTTTCTTAGCCAGAAAGGTATCCTGCCGGTTGCATAATCTGGAAACGCACAATTCTCTGGACAGAAAAGTAGCACAATGAAAACATGAAGACTCAGGGGGAGGGGGAGGATGAGGTTTTTTCCCTTCCTCGCTGTGAGTTTACCAGGCAGGTTGCATCTTGCATGTTAGACGATTCAGAATTAACCATAAGTTTAATTTCAGTAAGTTATATTTAAGGAAAAACAATTAAGTTAAATTACAAAAGTCTGATCAAATAATATTGTGAAATGTGCTAATAAGTATAATTATTCTCCACACAGATATTCTCCGCTTGAGAAGCGCCTGTAACCTCCATTAACATTAATGGGAGCTCTGCTCGTGCATCAGGCACAGACTAGAACCTAATAGGGCATTACAGCTTCAAAGTGCTGTACAAACATTAACTAATTACTTCTCATAACCATATTGGATGGTAGGTGAGGAAGGATTAATAAAACTTGATTCCAGGTGGTATTGGAAATGTACTCTTCAAGAAAACCAAGGATTCACTGTGCTACCACTGCAGCCAGAGCAAGATGTACTTTACAGGGTGAAAGTGAAAAACATCAAGGCACGTTGAATGAAAATAATGGTGTTCCTGCCCTGGCTAAGTGGGACCTTTCATGTCCCAAAGCAGAGCCTTCTGTCATTCTGAATGTTTAAGGCTAAATCCAGCATAGGCTCATAGCTTAGTGGTAGACTATCTGCTTTGCATGCAGGACATCTCAGTTTCAAATCCCAGCATCTCCAGGTATATGGTGGTGGTGGTGTTTTTTGGGGTTGTTAGTGGTTAAGTTTTTGGGATTGTTAGTGGTTAAGATCAAACCTATCCATTCTTAAGGAAATCAGCCCTGAGTGCTCACTGGAAGGACAGATCCTGAAGCTGAGGCTCCAATACTTTGGCCACTTCATGAGAAGAGAAGACTCCCTGGAAAAGACCCTGGTGTTGGGAAAGATTGAGGGCACAAGGAGAAGGGGACGACAGAGGACAAGATGGTTGGATAGTGTTCTCGAAGCTACCAGCATGAGTCTGACCAAACTGCGGGAGGCAGTGGAAGACAGGCGTGCCTGGCGTGCTCTGGTCCATGGGGTCATGAAGAGTCGGACATGACTAAACGACTAAACAACAACAACAAGTGGTTAAGTTACTCAAAGGTCTCTGATCAACTTGAATTAAAAACAACACAGATTCATAATACCTATTTTTTTGTTAAAAGGGCAGGGTTGGAAAATGCTCCAGTCTGAAATCCTGGACAGTTGCTACCAGTCAGTGTAGACAATACTAAGCTAAACAGACCAGGGACCTGACTCAGTGTAAGACAGCATCATGTTTCAGCAGAAACCACACAGTCCAACTCAAACCCAATGTATTCTGATAAATTAGCTCAAGATTTCTGCCTGCCTCTCTCTCTCTCTCTCTCTCTCTCTCTCTCTCTCTCTCTCTCTGTATGTGTGTGTGTTTTGACCAGAACAGTATTCAAAAGTTAGAGCACAACATTTTCAAATGAAAACCAGACATCAACTGTAGCAAGTAGTATTAGGAAATAGTAGATTCATAACCTTCTGATGCTAGTGACAAAATAATTCATTGGCTTCCAGTCTGTTTCTATATGCAATTTGAAATGCAATTATCACCTTTAAAATCGTAAATGACTTGGGTAGAATACACTTGTGTATTTGGATGATTATAGCGTCGCTATTGTTCATAACAATGTTTACTTGGAAGTAATAATCAATGTTTTTAAGATCCCCGTGACATGTGAGTGCAATTTTTATTCCCTATTATTATGCATGTATGTTAATGCCCAAAAACCTGTGTGTTAAATGTAATTTATACATAGTGGTGTTAACTTAATGCTATTTCTCTGAAATATTCAGGATATATTATGTCTTCCTCCTGGCAAAGATTTCTTCAAGTTCAAGATGTCTTAACACATTAAAGAGTATTAGAAAAGCATTTCAATTAGTTGGCAACCTGATCTTTTTAGAGACGTACCTTATTGTCTCATGCCCCGATTTTTTTTCTCTCCCCCCCACCATCATCCTAATACTTTAGTCTTAGAGCAGGCAGATAACACATTTGTGAAAACAAAACAGCCTGAACTCAAATCAAGAGTGAAATTAAATGCTGGCAGCCTTAACTGCCAAGGTCTACTAAGGTGGCAACCTCAGGGAAGGATTGAAAATGTCATCTTTTATGATGTTCAAGTAGCCAACATACTCCATTCTAAGCACTTGTTTACCACAGCAAGTTTCATGATCAAATTACCTATTATAGCAGGCTCTGATCCCTTGGTGTGAGGGATGAATTCAGACAACAGTTTTCCCCCCACCAAGAAGCATTGATTTTGGAAGTAGTGAAAATGAAGGTGGCACTAGATTACCTACAGGGGTCCAGTGAATGGAGGGCTTTGTAGCAATCAAGCATGAAGAGAGGAAAGCTGCACTAATTCACCTTGTCAAAAAGTAGGCAGCCTTTACAAAAGTTGACCAAGTTTGTCCTAGATCTCCTTTTCTAATCACTTTTACAGAAATCCAACATAACTACTTACATACCATTCAGAACAATAGTCAAAACATAAGCTGTTAAATGGACAAGCATACAGCAGGGTAAACTGTGGGCCATGTGATCTGTTTAAAACAAAACCCTGATGAGAAACACACAAAACACATCTGAAGGAAAATGTGTAGCTTTCAAGCTGGTACTTGCCCATTCTGCTTTTTGTAAATATTATGTCATAATGTGACAAGCAAAGACTTCAAATCTGGGAGCAAGGGTCTTTTGATTGTGCTGCACTAATACCGTGGTATTTCAGTTGACCTGTACAACATAACGATCAACTTAAAACAGTCCACTGGTAGTAGTAAAAGTTCCTGTTTGTTTTCTAATGGAAATAATTCCTGTCCTTTTTCTAGTGACGATGAGCATTTGTCTGTTTCAGGTTAGGATGTTTTGGAGGAGAGACAGCTAAAACTAAAACAGTGGTTCTTTTAACATTCACAAACCAAAGCTAATTTGATTCATGGAAGACTTCTGCAACGTTGCAAAGGGTTTGTCTGAAGAGTTTCCTGCAGACTGAGAAGGCTACTATTGTGTTTTTTTGTCACCATAAAGGCTAAGCAGTAATTAGCACAAACATGCTTAAGTGATTCATCCCATCACTATTTCTGCATACAGCCTAGTTGTGCATAATTTAATACAAAACTACTCTTATTTCACCCTAAATGAATGGAAGATCACTGAGAGTCAGCATTTCCATGCCTGCATGCTTCCCTGAACAAAATCACCTAACTTTCACCCATCCTCACAATATTGCATCAAGGAATTAGAACTGCTGGGAGCATTTGAACTGTAGAAGCTCATCACAGCTAGTACTGTGTGTAGAGTCTTCTCCATCTTCCAGCACAAGGCCTTTCAAAATTAGCCTGAATGAGACTTCCAGTCCCCAACAAACAGAGCCCCCCTAAAAAAGCTGAATTGGCTGCCATCACTCAATTGTGGCAAAGGGCCAGCTACAAGAACACACACATATTGGCACATGCCTTCTTTTCAGATGCCCAATGGAATGCCACCTGGGAAGGGGGAAAAAGACACTCTTGCAACAGTAGGAAATATGTCTACCCACTACTCTTACTTAATCCAAATAGGGGGGTTGCCTCTATTATACTGTCTGTTTGGTCCAGGCATTATGAAAAAAGTGAGCTGAGTGCATAGGAGCCAACTCCTAGGGGCTGAGGGGTCTTCAGCCCCCCCAATAAAATATTTGAGGGGGCTGCCCCCAAAGCTGATAAGCATTGCCATTCCGATGGTGTGCATGCATCACATCATATGATCAATTATAAGTTGTGCAGCTTAACACACACACCCCATATTTTATTCAAGTTGGCACCCCTGGCTGAGAGGAAATAGAGACTAACAACTACTCTTGGCTCTAGCCATGTCTGCTCGTGCACCTTCAAATTCTTGTCCCTGGCACATTTCTCTGAATAGTGCTAAATTAATGCAATATGCAACTTTTATCACCCCCTCATTCCTATTCTTTCCAAGGATGCTATGGAGATGAATTGAGAAAAGTACAAGGCAACAAAAAGCAAAAATGTATTCGTGTGCAATTCTTAGCATATCCCATCAGGAAAATGCCTAGGTGTTAGTAACGGAGAACTGAAATTGGGAGATCTAAGGCTGCATTAAAGAAGAGGGTGAATCTAAAATATTGTTTATAGTTTGCAATATTTACAAATGATCAGGTTTTAAAATAATAAATTGAGCCCAGTACTGCCTAGCTCATATCAAAAAATATACTTCTGAATGAAAAGCCAGGGCTATTTCCTCTATCAGAGATTATGCTATGGAGTCATAAAATTGCATAGAAATTGTATCAGGGTATTTTTATTTGTATGTTTTTTTAATTAATGAAACTCTTAAACTACATACAAACAGAAAAAGCTCTGAGAGAACACAATACTGACTCCAGAGTACTACAAAAGCAAATATACCAGTCCCCTTTTTCCAGGATCTGAAGTAGGGTATTGTGGGAGCGTGCATGCACACGCACGTGCACACACACACACAGATTTTCATATCCATAGCCATAGTGTTGCAAACACACTGCTCCACAAGCAACTTTGCAGCTTATTTTAACAACTGGAGACGCATGCAGAGCAGTGCTTTAAAAAATGAAACTCCTGCAAATGTTGAACAAAGCTGTTCAGAATAGAACTGTTCTTCAGTTAAAGAGTTGAATCTGAGTTGATTTATAGAACAAAACTAGTTTTAAAAGTTTAATTGACCCTCAGGATTTTTCAAGGAAAAGAAGTTTGAGAACTGCTGCCACAGAGCAACATGTCATCCTATCTGTGATTTGGCTTGTTCCATTTTGACCACTGGCACTGTTATGATTCAGACTTCTTATTTTAAGTTTTGAGGGAGTAAAGTATCTGGTTCTCAGGTGTTTTCTAGCAATCAGGATCAATCTGTTGGAATACATCTGTACCAAGCTTCCACTTTCTATCTACTGTGGAAGTACCTTAACAGTTTTGATTATCAGTGTGTCAACTGGGAACTAAGCAGAGATAAAACAGAGATACAAATACAAATATTAACATCAAATTCCTTGGTGATTATGAAGGAGACAGAAGTAAACCAGTAATGCTAAAATGCTGCTATAGAAACAAAAGTATTCAAATTCCAAGAGAAAATTCATAGAACACCCTGGAGATGTGAAAGATGGATACTGCCGAAAGATGTTTTGTTCTTCCTTGAAATGAGAGAATATTGCAAAGGCGGGGCTTCCACTAGCTAGAAAACATGGGGCTTGGTTCCAGTATATTATTTAACTGTAACACAAATTCCCAGGGCCAGCCCAAGGTATTTTGGCATCTGAGGTGAACCACAAAATGGTGTGTGTGTCCTTACACTCCCCACCAGGGAAGAAGGGGTGAGTGAAGAGCCAAATCAACCTTACTTGGCAGCTGAAGTGGGGGGGGGGGAAGGACCCTGTTCTAAATCATGCTGGGCAGGTGCAGAACCCAGGACACCTGAGGGGGCAGCACCTGCCATTTCCTACCTGATGGCCGGAGAGCAGCATTATACCTTCTATTCACCAAGAGGCCGTTATAGATGTGGCATGGCGGAGGGAGGGGGGCTGTTGAGGAGATGGCAGATGCAGCCGCCAAAGATGCGCCCGACAATGCTGGAAATATTGTCCATTTGAATCCTGCTGCCTGAGGCAGTCACCTTGCCTTGCCTCATGGGAGGGCCAGCCCCATGAAAATTAGAGGTAATTTTGCTCTGAATATGTGCTTAGGAAATGGGGAGGTAAGGGGAAAAAAGGGAAAGTGTCATAAGAAACAGGATTTCTATTCTGAGGAAATCATGCACTTACAAACAGCTTTCCTTCCCCCACCACCTTAGTTAACTTAGCCAGCATAGTGCCATTAAGGCCAGTTAGCAGATCTTTAGCAGTCACCACACCTGCTTATTACAGTACACTGAATGTGAGTCAGAGCTGGAAAACTTACAGCTGAAAGGGTAGGAGGTGGAGCAGTGTGTAAAATATGTCTGGCAAAGTAATGTGATCAGCCTGAGCAATGCCGCCTGCATCAAGACATTGCTAGTATCTTTTTGTCACTAATATCAGCTAAAACAATAAACCAAAGGACAAACAATGGCTTCTCCACCTCCCCATGTCCTCTTCCACAAATTATAGTAATTGATTTAGTCAAAGCAGGGGTAGAAAGTTGGGATAGATTACTTTCAATACAGCTTGGCAAAATTGTACTCACCCACTCAATAAGTATATTCCACCACTAGCACAACTGCCACCCATGGATGATCAGAGCTGTATCTCACCCACCCCCAGAACCTACAATGATTGCAATGATTCGGATGCTTTTGTTAAAATAAGCAGGGCAATATGAGAAGATAGGAAGGTGCCTTATAATGAGTCAGGCAATTGATCCATCTAGCTTAATGCCGTCTGCACTGAATAACACTATCTCTTCAGGGTTTCCCAGCCCTACCTGGAGATGTCAGAATTGAACCCAAGACCTTCTCTGTGCAAAGCATGTTCTCAACCAAGTGCATGACACATTTGGCTACAAATCACTTGTCCCTCGGACAAGTCACTTCCCAACTCTGCAAACAAAAGTATTAATTTATGCAACAACTTTGCAAAACATGGAAGAATAGAAAATGCAACGATCCTCTGGTCACTTCTGAAAGAACCCAAGTGAAGGAAGCCAAGCTTTTATGCCTATTTTCCACAACATGAATTAACATCACCATCTTTAGGCAAAGGAAGCCTCAAAGTAACTAGAAATGTGTCTGGGAGGACACACCTTCTTGATATATTGCATTAGCCTAGCAACAAGAGCACAAGAACAAAATAATTCTGGGTGTCCATCAAGCTGTGTTGGTAAATATGTGTGTTACTAAGGCAAAGCTGCTCCATCACTTTTGCCTTCGGTTGTGACCTACAAAACAAATGAAAGAAGGCAATAAGAAGGCCTGACCATTTTCCTCTAGGCAAGAATTTCAGACAACACTCAACTGCAAGCAACACCATATTCACTGCTGAATCTGTGGCAGAGTGGAGGGTGGTCTGCATATAGGATGGAGCTGCATTTCCTTGATAGGCCTACTGTAGGAGGACTACTGAAGAGGGAATGCCGTTTGTTTGGTTGACTTTCAGTTGTCCTTGAAACAAGCATTTAGGTGCTGATTAAGTACTTTCCTACCTGCCTGCTATATCTTACCCCATCTTATTATTTTGTTTGCATAACAATCTTATCATGGGAAGATTCTTGTATGCATGTTTTGTGGTTGGCAGCACTGTGTTAGGCAATGAAGATATGTCAGCCTACCATCAATTAAATGGCTTTTCCCAGAAGTAGTTATCCAAACTTGGATCTTACAGTCCAGGAATTCTCCAGAGAAGGCCTTTTTGGAGATAGTGGCCTAATTATGGAACGCCATCCCCAAGGAAGGTCACCTGGCACCCACATTTAAAAACTTTCAGTACCAATAGAATACATTTTTATTCACGTTGGGGGTTTTTTTGCCCTTGGAATGGATTATTTCTGCTGGCTTTTAACTGCTGCTATGCTGGTTGTAGTGGTTTTAAACCAGTCAAATGGTTTTTAACACTTTGATTCTTTTAAATTAATGGTTTAATTGTATATTGACCTCTACAGTAACTGTCCAGAGAACTGTGGTGATTAGGTGGTCAGCAAATGTTCTACATTTAAAAAATAGTTTGGGTTGTGATTGTTGTTTTTGGTCTTTCCCAAATATGGTTATAGTCCAACCAACTTGTGTCTGCCTTGTGCCCTCTCTCCAGCTGCCTTTTCCTACACAAACGTCTTTTTTGTTTTTACAGGGGCCAATCAGCTTTAACTGACCAGCACCTGGATCATAAAATGTCTCTGAAGGAGTGTGGGGGGACGACTGAGGAGAAAAGGCAAAACAAGATGAAGTCAGAAAGCAACCCAAAACCAGAGGGACTTTTTGTTGGGAGACTGGTGGGGGAAGGGAGGAGACCATTCAAAACAGTGGCGTCTCCATGGCAATATCCTCAGGAGCTAAAGAATGCACACTAGGCAAAGCCTCTCTTTGGCGCAGAATCCACAAAGTGCATCTCCCAATAAACAGTACAAAGAAGAGGAGGGGAGAAGGCGAGCCCAGAGAGCTGCTGAAAAGAGGCTGAGCTGGAGACCCGGGAGCTGAGTCAGCCGCAGACAGCAGGCTCTGAGCTCTTTAGCTGAGTAAATGAGAGGCTGCGGGAGGGTTCTCCCTGGGCCCTGGCGTGATTGATTCCGCTAATGACAGGGCTTTGTGACTTTTCACTAGCTAGTAATAGCTGCCTGAATGGGCAGAGGAAGGAGCTTGCTGCGCGAATAAATGAGTAATGATCTGCAAAGCCCTCTCCCCTCCCCCTCCCCCTGCTTGATGCAGGACAATGCCAGCTCTGGTCTTCCTCTGCTCAGGACTCTTTTTACACATCCATGCCATCATGACGAGTGGGAAGAAGAAGAAGAAAAAGAAGAAAAAGCTGCGTGTTTAAAGACAGCCCTTTCCTGCAGGAATCAACCTGCTCCCTCTGGTATCCATTAACGTGCTCAGTGCAAGAGAAGCACAACAGATAGAGGCCCCAGTTGGCTTTCGGTGACCCTTTCCAGGCATGGAGAATTTTGCCAAGCTTGGCAACCAATAAGTTGTCAAAAGTCTTTAAGTTTCTTGACTTTTTCTGCAGTCCAGAGTTGGGCGGATTGTTTTCATGGTCCTTCTAACTGTGTGGCCTCCACTTTTTATTTTATGTATATGCTTTGTGTCCTTAAAAGATTTGTGTGCTTTCCTGTTTACAAAGCACACAATATGCTCTTCCATAAATGAATAACAATAAGCAAACAAACAAACCTCTATATTTCTTGCTAGATGTACTTTTGGAAGTACTTTTGGAAGTTGATCTGTAATAGTAAAGTTCTCCACATATACCGTTAGTGGCTGCAACTAAATGCCAGCTTCCCTAAACAGTGGATCTTATGCTAACACCTGTTAGCATAAACAGAAAATAAATGGCACTGCTGCCATGTGCTGCTGATGTGCTAAAGCTGCATATGATTGGATCACCACATAGGGAGAGTTCAAATGCAATTCTCTTTGTCACTAGATCATCACCAGCACTGGTAATGGCTTTTTGGTGGCAACCAAAGATTGGTGTATATTTAAGGTCATTCAGTCCCACAGCTACTCTCTGAAAGAAGCCTCCATGGTTCCTATTTTAAAGGTGGGGACTGAGGCCAAGGGGGAAACTGACTTGCCATCAGTTACTCAGTGTATTTAAATTATTTGAATTTAATCAGAAAACCCTGTTAGTCCACAAATCTCTTGGGAATATATCAAACTCTCACATTGCAAGGGTACACAGGTTATCAAATTCTGATGGGTATGAATTCAATTCTTTTCAGAGCAAAGCTTTGGAAATATTCTCTACAAAAGATAAGCATTGGTTGATAAAGATAGTAGGCCTGTAGAGCAGAAGTGGGGAATCTGCAGCTCTCCAGACACTGCTGACCACAACTTCCATCGTTCTTGACCATTTGAAGGACCACAACTTGCTCATTCCTTCTCTAGAAATTAGACTGATGATTGTTAAATACTAAATTTCTAAGATGTTATATGAAACTGAGAAAAACTATTTTAAATAATAATGATGATGATAAAACATTTTTATACCATCCTTTCTCGAAATTGTTTTCAGGGTAGGTTATAGTGTTTAGAAAGCATACAAATACACCAAACTACAAAACTCAGAACCTGTAATGAAGCTAGTTTAACAACTTTTTGTTCCATCTGTTTCCAATGGCAAGAGCTAGAGAGAAATAATACCAAAAAACAACCTTACAAATTTGTAAGTTAGAAAGGGTCAATCCACCATGGCCAACTGATTTCTATAAAGTGCCACCCCTAATAAAAACACTGAGTAATGACTACCACTTGGTTCTTCTTGTTTACAAATATAGATAAATAAGGATTAGAACAGAAAAATAAATTATGGCAAATACTATTATCTTGGTGCTAGCTATTTGTGTTAATCACTCAAAAATTCTTTGTAGACTAGTGCTGCAGGTCTTTGTAGCAAAATGGGGGAGAGTAACTGAGGTTTCCCCCCTTAAATTATTCAAATTAAATATAGATTCCCAAGCGCCTGCAACGTTTGTTTATTGGATAAACTTTATCCCAAGGGAATTAAAAGGGAAACTGCAATGTCTGCTAAATATAGGCTAGTAAACTGATGTTAATTACCTCAGATTTGGAGTAATTGGCCTTATAGCCAGATATTGATCCCAAACTGTCAAGCTTGTTCATGAGCAGTATAGTATAGCAGAAAGAAAATTCTCATGACATACAAGA